AATTATTTACATTGCTTTTCTCGTTTTAAGAAGTTCACTATAATAATTGATTATTATTATACAATAATCAATTATTTCAAAGTCATCACTTTATAATAATTGATTATTCCCGTAAATAATCGATTAAAGTGTTGTTGACTAGTTTCTAGATTTGTTAAAAAGAAAATAATTGATTATCAGTGAAAGTAATCAATTATTTTAGTTAAAGAGTTCTATAAATATCAATTTTCAAACTCAAGAAAAATAACTAAAATACTAGTAACTTTGTGAAATCTCATGCGAAAAAATCTTTATGAAATTCTGTATTTTCTTTGTAAAAAAATCCTTTGATCCTTTGTGGATAATTTAAAGAAAGGGTTCAAAAATCATCATCATCCAACTAGAAAGAAAGACTAAGCTACTCTAACTTTGATTTACCTCTTTAATTGATTATGTATCCAGGTGAATTCGTTCCAAAACTCTCTTTATCATTGTTCTTGAAGGTTTCTCAAGATTAAAGATTTTGTAGTGGGTGACTACAAGGGGTATTTATTGGGGTTCAATAAATGAGTTTATCTTTATAATTCTATGAGTTTATTGCATGTGTGTGATTGTAATACTCTGAATATAAAGATAGTGAAAAATCTCAATTAGGTTGACTGAGAACTGGATGTAAGTTACAATGCTAGTGGCTAGACCAGTATAAATTCTCAGTGCCATTTCTCTTTATCCTTACACTTTATATTTGAATTTTTTCTAACATTAATTGAATGTGTTAAGTCTCTTATATTTGAATTTTGCATATCATATACGATTCAATATATAATTTGCTCTTATATTCTAAAATCAATATCAACATTATATCCCATATAATCTAAATCAATAGACTTTTTTTTGGAAAGATTTTAAAAACAAATTTAAAAGTTAAAGATTCTAAAAACAAATTTTAAAATATTCGATTCACCCCCTTTTAAATAGAGCCATGTTTTATAACATTTGGTATCAAGAGCAAGGTCTTTAAAAGTTAATCAATAATTTTTAAAATGGTTAGTAATAATCTTCCACATATAGTAAAGAAGTCTTTATTCATAAACCTCCAGTTTTTAATGGTGAAAACTATGTCTATTGAAAAATAAAAATGAAAATTTTCATTAAAACTATTGATATAATCATATGGAATATTGTTAAGAATGATCCATATATTCCTAAGATTGAAAAAAAGAAGAAGAAAAGAGTGAGAGGTGAGAAAAATATTGGAGTGAGTAAAATGATGATGAAAGAAGATAACATGACATTTAGTGATGTGATTATTTGATTATATTATTATTTATAAATGTTTTCTTAATTACATCAACATTTTTATAATGTATACTAATAGTAAGTACCAAAAAAAATGTAAACATCTAGAAAATTCAAAAAGACTACAAAATAAAAAGTAAATGTAGGATAAATAGAAAAATAAGTAAACATAAGGAAGTAGAAACTTATTTAATTTTAAATAATTTTTAGCGAAAAAGATGTTATAAAAGACTTGCAAAGTTTAAAGGACAAAATTTCATTCATCACTAATTTATCGATCAAGTTTCCTTTTTATGTGATGATATATCACTTAACCATGCACATTGATGTTTGTACAATGAGGTTTTATGCGTTTTATAAAACTCATACCTGTACAATAAATGATGGCCACAACAAATAAAAAAAATCTAAGACAACAAAAATTGTTACAAATTTATTTATAAACTAGCGTAATATATAGAGTCACCCGACTTATCGGAGAAAAACCGAAGTCTCACATCACTATCCTAAAATCACTCTATTTTTTATTTTTATTTTGTTTTTAATGAAAAGTTTAGATTAATATGTGACTCTATTGTACTTACCCATTCGAATGGAAAATTATATCGAATAAAATCATATCTTTTTATTATTTCGATTAAGGATTTGTTTTTGTATTATTAATCTAGTAATTTAAAAGTTAAAACAGTTTGAACGAATATATGACACCCTTAAACAATTTAACTAACGATCTTGCATACAGCAATAGCCCAATAGCTCTTTTGTTTAATTGAGAAGATAATCTCACACATTCTAAAAGGATTTTGGTATTTTTCAAATGACATGATATAAAATAATTTATTTGATTAATAAATGATAAATAATATTTTTTTTACAAGCAATTAAATTAATTAAATAAAACAATTAATGAGTCTATGATTAATGATTGAACAGAAAACTTTTCAATTAATGGCATATGAATAAATAAATAGTTAATGTATGTGTATTTAGTTGGCTGTGCAAATGAATTAAAATGAAACGTTGTATCGATCTATACAATGTACTTTTTTAAGCACTAATCCACCAGTAAAATAGTAGATCCGATGGTTCTACGCGAATTATTCACTTAATTATTTTACCAACATTATGTTATGTTAGCATATAAGTGGAACTAAATTTAAATCTTCTAGACTGTAAAAAATTATATATACTTAGGAGAAAAAATTATATTAAAAATGATCAATCAAAACTCAAGTAGAAATTATAAACTGAAAAAATCAACGAGTATTTTTTACCTGTAACACGACAATAAAAACGTTCACGCAATTAATTTTTCTTCTTCTGGGCTTATTTATTTTAATGGTTTGAAATTCCTCGTAAAAAAATAGTAGATATCCAGTCACAGGTTAGCTACAACACTATATATATATAAAATATTTCTTATCATTACGTAAGGAGTCTATTTTATATTATTATTTAATTATCATGTGATATATTATAAGACTTTGATTTTCTATATTATTATTAACATAGGTGAATTATTTTATTGTTTAAATTATATGATAATTTTTTAAAACTATTATAAAAATTATAATTAAATTAAGAAAAAGAAATTCTGAGCATGATTAATTAGTTTCCAACGTATTTTTTAAAATAATTTTCCTATTAATTTACAAAAGGCATACTGAAGAAATGTTATTTTTATAATCATATTGAAAATGTGTTACCACAAAGAAAAGTAAACTTTCCAACTGAAAATGAAAAAACCAAATACACTTGGGATTCCCAAGTCTTCAACACTGTTAACGCTATGATTGTTTTCAATTGTAACCGACGCAAGAAAAAAAAAACTAAAACAAGTGTGAAAATTAAATAGTCTTGCTGACAGGAATCAATAAAAAAATTCGTTAAAAATGACTATAAAGATATACCCAAAAATATGTAAATATATATTTTTAATAAATTTTTTATTCCTAAACTAGTATCTTTAAGATATTGATTAAATATTTTACAAAATTAAATTATTTTAATAATTAATTATTACTAATGAGAATGGATTTTATTTGAATAATATTTAAAAAATGATTTTAAAAATTTACTTCGTTTAGATATTAAAAAACTTAAAATAAAATAATTATGACCTTCAAATTTTAAATAAAAAAAAATTTCAGAAATTATTTTTCAAAAATTTCTGTTGTTAGATCATATATATAATAATAAGAACCAATAAATTATTGGTGTGAAATAAATTATTTGAAAATAGAAAAGAAAAATTTTAATTATTTTTTATGTCTTTTAATTTCAATAAATTATTTTTATTCTTTTTTAAGTTCTCATGTCTAGTTTTTGTAAGAACTAGAAAGTAATGGTTATAAAATTATAAGGAATATATGTATAAACTAAAATAAAATTAGTCATCTTACACTAATAAGATGAATATGTAAAATAAAAGATAATAGACTTAATTATATTTTTTATTTTTTTAATATTATAATTGTGTAATTAGAGTAATTTTAATTATTATAATTATATGATTTTAATTTATTAAATATTATGATTATATAAATTTTTATATAAGTTATATATATTAGTAATTTTAATAATAATAAATATATAACAGTAATATTTAAAAGATTAAAATTATTATAATATTTGAGAAATTAAAAATAGTGAATTTTAAAAAGCAAAATTAAGCGAAGATAATAAAAAGCAGGTAATGAGAATTGTATGACGATATAAGTTTTGCAGCCGAGCCCCAGTGTTGTTAGTTGTTACACAAAAGCTAAATCCAAGAATGGATAAAACTTAAAAAGGTTGGATACACAAGATCCAATCCTCACCCTCTCATTGGTCCTTCTCGTGTCTTACCGTGGACCGCCAAACACCGGATGAGGCCTTTCTAAAGGACAAAGCGAGTAGAATGTAGTTGACAATAGTAATAGCGGAAGCTGGCGCGTGAAACACGCGCTCCATGTTGAATTGTGATTGGTGGCGGACATCACGAACCCCCTTCTTTCTAGCATGGACCCCACTCTCTCTCTTATGTAATACATTTCCTCACATTGAACAAGGAAAAATAATGAAGTCTGTAGATGTAGAGAGTAACAACAGAGAAAGATGTGGTTGAACAAGCACCTATATTAACAGCAACTTGGAATGGCTTTCTTTCAGTTTCAGTTATCAAAAAACAAATATCTTAGAGACGAAAACCATTGACTTTCTCATTACCCCATAGTCACTGTAAGTCAGCTCCATCCTTTCTTTATTCTTAATGTTAATCAATCAATATATTTAAATACTACTACTATATCTTATTTTATCTGTCCTTTTCTCTTCCACCAATCTTAATACTAGTAATATACAGTGATCAATTTTTTTTTTTTTTTTTTACCTTTTAAAATTTAATGTTTTTGCTGTCAAATTTATCAACCACGAATTGGATATTTATTTTAAAAGAGAAATCATAACTTTCTTAGCTGTGGAACCCAGTGACTCTGTTTGTTTTTTTTGGCTCTTTTACTTTGCTCACTGTCAAATTAAAAGGTATCGTTTTCTCCGTACCATGGTTGGTTTGTATACCATCTAACTTTCTCCATTTCTCAGTTATATGAGTGTGGGGGTGGAGAGAGAAGAGAGAATGGTGGGGGTGGTTCTTTTTGCTTAGATTTGGTGTGATGCATTTGACAAGTCAGAGCGGTGTGTGAATATGACTATGAGATGAGATAAGGTTTTGTGTTTGTTGCTGTCCTTTTTATGCATATATTTATATATGTTAAAAGATTCTTAATCTTTGTTTTATATATTTTTTTTTTCCTGAGGGACGTTTTGGCTTAGACTTCTTTGGATTTTCTCCCTACTGGTGTCTTTTTCAAAATTCTCAATACTGACAAGGAATCGGTCAAGTGTGAAATATAGAAAAACAAGTGGTTCTCCCTTTTATGTGTTTTTTTTCTGCTGTTGGGGTTGCAGACATGAGATGCAGGTGTGAACCTTGGATCAGAAAGGAAGATGATTTTCTTGTCCTGTTCCTCTTTTCATCTGTTTCAGGAATAGCCTTCTAGAGAGAGAAAGGGGGTGTCGACAAGGAAACAACTTTTTGGCCACGTCTACTTTTTCACACCAAAATTTCAACCTTGTCAGTGTTTAGCTCAATCTGGTTTAAAGGTCAAAAAGTTAAGTGTTAGAAGAAATCAAAAAACTGAAAAGTTCCTTGCAAAAGTGACAGTGACAATTTCGGGTTATAAAAAATAGAAATATAAAAAAGGGAGGAACATGAGAGTCAGCATGGGAGGAATTGAGGCACAGAAATTTTTGGGAGATAAAAGAGACAGGGTCAATCCATTTTTTTAAAACTTCTTTGTGGGGTTCGAGCCTAGGTTTGATTTTGATTACCAGTTGCTGTTGGGGGTGCAAGAGTTGAGACTGATATATTTATTTCTCAATCCATTTCCAGTTCAATGCAAAATTCATCTTCCTTCTCCTACTCAACTGTATGGTTTTTGTCTCCATCTCTGAGCATCTTATGTTATTGTTTACTTCTGTATGGACATTGAATTTGATTTGTGCATCTTATTATTCGTATCCCTCTTGTTGATAACGGGGTTGTTATTATTTTCTACAGCAAAGGAAAATGGAAGGCCCCAGTGAGATGGGTCTCATTGGGGAAAATTTTGATGCTGGTTTGATGGGAAGGATGAGGGATGATGAATATGAAAGCCGTTCTGGAAGTGATAACTTTGAAGGCGTATCTGGTGATGATCAGGATGGTGGTGATGATCAGCCACAGAGGAAGAAGAGATATCACAGACATACTCCTCACCAAATTCAAGAGCTTGAGGCGTATGCCTTTAATTTTATGATGATACTTTGCATCTTTTTTTATTTTGTTCCCAATTTGCTTCAGTGATTGAATTATGTGGTAAGGGTGGTTTATGCTTTTGGTTTTGCCTTTATTGGTTTTTAGTTTCTTCAAGGAGTGTCCTCATCCTGATGAGAAGCAAAGGTTGGATCTCAGTAAGAGGCTTAGTTTGGAGAATAAGCAAGTCAAGTTCTGGTTTCAGAATCGACGAACTCAGATGAAGGTGAATTTGAAGACACATATTATTGCACTTGAATGCAGTTTGCTGATACAGGTTGGATATTGTACTAATTGAAGTGATTTTTTTATTGAAGCAGACTCAACTGGAACGCCATGAGAACATAATGCTTAGGCAAGAGAACGAGAAGCTGAGAGCTGAGAACAGTTTGATGAAGGATGCGATGTCAAATCCAGTGTGTAACAACTGTGGTGGGCCAGCTATTCCTGGCCAAATTTCATTTGAGGAGCACCAGATTAGAATTGAAAATGCTAGACTAAAGGATGAATTGAACCGTATATGTGCCTTAGCAAACAAGTTCCTTGGCAAGCCAATCTCATCATTGACCAGTCCCATGGCCCTCCCAACCTCAAATTCTGGTCTAGAACTTGGTATTGGAAGGAATGGGATTGGTGGTTCAACCACTCTTGGCACTCCCTTGCCAATGGGACTTGATTTGGGCGATTTGGGCACACAACCTGCAATGCCTGGGATTAGACCACCATTGGGATTGATGGGAAATGAAGTTCAGCTGGAGAGATCTATGCTTATAGATCTTGCATTGGCTGCTATGGAGGAATTACTTAAGATGACTCAGGCAGAGAGCCCTCTTTGGATTAAGAGTTTGGATGGCGAGAAGCAAGTGTTTAATCATGAGGAGTATGCAAGGTTGTTTTCTCCTTGTATTGGTCCAAAACCCACGGGTTATGTAACTGAAGCTACAAGAGAAACTGGCATAGTAATCATCAACAGTTTAGCCCTTGTGGAAACTTTGATGGACGCGGTATGACTATGATGGTCAACAACCTAGAACTCTAATTAATTATAGTTTTGTGAATTGCCATTGATGCAGGGATCAAAGCAATGTTACTAATGGACTATGACTTTACTTTAGTCTAGAATTGGCGCAGGTTTGTTTAATATTTGTTTTAATTGATTATTAATTTGTTTGAATAGAATCGATGGGCAGAGATGTTTCCTTCAATGATTGCTAGAGCTATCAACCTTGATGTTATATCTAATGGCATGGGTGGAACAAGAAATGGTGCTCTACAAGTGGTGTGTTTCTTTGCTGTCTATTTGCTTCACTTTGTCTCAGTGGTTGGCCGGAACTGACTAGGATTATGTATTTTTCAGATGCATGCTGAGGTTCAATTGCTTTCACCACTAGTCCCGGTTCGTCAAGTAAGATTCCTCCGGTTCTGTAAGCAGCATGCAGAAGGTGTATGGGCTGTGGTTGATGTTTCTATTGACATCGGTCATGATGCTGCTAATGCACAACCATTCATGAGCTGTAGGAGGCTTCCTTCTGGCTGTATTGTGCAGGATATGCCCAATGGTTACTCTAAGGTAAGTGCTGATCCAAGTTCTTTTTAAGACTTCTTTCTTTTCTTTTTAATCTTTTTGCGTGGCACTGTTTATTGCTTTTTGTAGTGTTCAGATTTTTCTATTTTTAAATTGAGGGTATCTTACTTCTGATAGTGAATGGGGTGTTTTGTTATATTTGATGTTATAATTTTGCAAGATGTTGCACTTGACTTCTTTGTTAACTGAACTTTGTTTTGACTGCTATAAATAGAATAAGGTTGAACTTTGTCTGAGAGATCAGCATTTTTTACTAGTTTATTTATTTGAGGAGATGCTTCCTTAGTTAAAGTGTATTATATTCTTCTAACTTCAGAGTAAGGGTTACTTGTTGTCTGTACTTAATTTGTTCAGTGCTATTCCTTGAGAATAGTGAATCAAGGCTTACATTGTTTAGCGAAAGTTTGAAACTTCGTTTCTGTTTCGCATCTTTTAGTATTTAAAAGTGCATGAAAATTTTAAATCTTGGATTCTTCATATTCGTTGTATAAACAATACTCTTGATGCTTCTATTCCTATCTCCTTTTATATAAAGTGTACTACCATTTTTTTACTGCATACGAGACCATAATGACCTGGATCCAGTCATTTTCTGCTATAATATAATGGTGACAGGTGATGTGTTAATCCGTGCCCTTTAATATATTCATATAGGATTTATAATGTTAAAAAAAATTCCATAATCTGCTAACTGTATTGGGATTCTCCTCCATCCCGTTGACATCTGCTCCAATTTTGACATGTCACGTATTCCTCTACAGACTTCTCTTAGTTTGGGGTATTAATTTATAATTAGTCTAGGGTTTTATACATGTCAAAACATTTTTTTTTTAATTTCTTATGTAGTTTAATGTTGAGTTTTACTTCATTCAATAATCGCCCTTCTAATTTACTTTTTTATATTCATACACTTAACATCTCTTCCATTATTTATATTCCATTTAATAATCACTCCATTTTTATGGGTAGAAGGAAGAAAGAGATAAAAAGAAAAATAAAGAGAGAAACTAATAGATGTGACATTGTGACAAATAATGTGATCTATGTCCAACTCAAAAAAAAAAGTTTTATCACTTCATTGTCTTGTGATTCTTTACATTACATAAACATCGCATATCTTTAAGTAGTTCAATCTTTTCTTTATTATTGCATTGGGTTTTTGAAAATTGACATAAGGCAAGGTGCACTGTTTGTAGGTTACTTGGCTTGAGCACTGGGAGTATGATGAGAGTGTTGTCCACCAACTTTATCGGCCATTGCTTAGTTGTGGCGTTGGATTCGGTGCTCATAGATGGATCGCCACCCTCCAAAGGCAGTGTGAATGCTTGGCTATCCTCATGTCCTCTTCTATCTCAAGTGATGATCACACAGGTGTATATTTATATATATGCATGCGTAGATTTTTATATTTGAATTCTATTGCCGTCAAATAAAAAAAAAAATGCATGCATTGGTTGTTGTATGCCTTTTCATCACATGTAGTTATGTAGCACTATAAATTGTTTAAACTTTGGCACTTTGCAGCATTGAGCCAAGCTGGTAGGAGAAGCATGTTGAAGTTGGCACAACGCATGACTAGTAACTTCTGTTCGGGGGTGTGTGCTTCTTCGGCTCGCAAGTGGGACAGCCTTCACATAGGGACTCTCGGTGATGACATGAAGGTTATGACTAGGAAAAACGTGGATGACCCTGGTGAGCCTCCGGGGATTGTGCTCAGTGCTGCAACTTCTGTTTGGGTGCCAGTGACTCGACAGAGGCTCTTTGACTTTCTGCGTGACGAACGCCTCAGAAGTGAGTGGGACATCTTGTCCAATGGCGGACCAATGCAGGAGATGGTCCACATTGCCAAAGGACAAGGACATGGAAACTGTGTTTCTCTCCTTCGTGCTAATGTAAGTTACAACAAGATGACACATATAGATTAAACATTATTTTATGTTCTTAGTATTATATATGTTATAGGTATTCTGAGAGGAAATCTTGGTCAAACCAGGTAGGACTATTACAAGTAACAAAATTCTTATTTCATGTTTTAACTGTTGCATAACAAAAGTGTACTTAGTATTTTGTTGTTTTGTGGTTGTCATGCATTATGGGGTGTGCTATATGCAGGCTGTTAATGCGAACGATAGCAGCATGCTGATTCTGCAAGAGACATGGATGGATGCGTCGTGTTCAGTGGTGGTATATGCACCGGTGGACGTGCAATCGTTGAACGTGGTGATGAGTGGGGGAGATTCTGCATACGTAGCACTATTGCCTTCAGGGTTTGCCATTCTTCCGGATGGTCATTCCAGCAACAGTTGCAACGGGACTATGGCGAAGGGTGGCGGCGACAACAGCGGCGGAAGCCTTCTGACAGTTGGGTTCCAAATTCTGGTGAATAGCCTCCCAACGGCTAAGCTCACAGTGGAGTCAGTTGATACTGTGAATAACCTCATCTCATGCACCATTCAGAAGATAAAAGCTGCTCTCAGAGTTGCATGATATATACCATTTTGTTAATGCAAGTTAAGTTAATTACCTTACTTTGTGTCTTTTTTATTATTAAATTCTTTCTGAGATGAATTTGAGAGAAGGGTGTATAGGATTAAATTATAATATGATAGAGTAGTGGAAGAGGCTGAGGCAGAAAGGGTCGCGTAAGGAAGGTTTCGAGTCAAGAACGAACCGCGATGGAGGAACTTGATGCTTAGTTTTCTGCTCATAGTGGTTCGGGTATTGACTCGTTCACCTGCGAGTTCCTCCCAGCACTCTTGTTTCGATTAAAAAAAAATATGTGCGTGTTAGTGTTACTACTTACTACTTACTAGTGCCCATCCTATACTGTTGCAAATTCCTGAACTAATGTATTTTCCAATTCATTTTCATATTTTGCTCTTTTCTTTGTCTTCGTCGGGAGGTTGGGGACTTCCGGGTAGGTGGCGCCTTCTGAATTGTCATCATAATTTTTAAGTAGGTATACCAAAATTTGTTTTTAAATTTTTTTACAAATTTAAGCGATTCTATTTTATTTTTACATAAATTCCTAGATCTTATAATTGTATTTTCTCTTCAAGTTAGGCCGCCTAATATTTTCATTTTTAAAATATATTCAAATTTCGAATTAAAGTTGGAATTATTATTAAGGGTTATGCTATTTTTACACCCATAAATTCTAAATTATAAATATGTATTAATACCTTCTCGTTTCTCTCTCGTTTTTGTTTTTTTAACTTTACAATAACCCCTTATAAAAGTACACAATATAAACGTGTTTTTCTAATAACAAGGGTATCAATGATTCAATGTATTTCAGAAAAAAAATATAGTAATGTTGGTATAATTTGTTCTATATCAATAAGAATGAATGATGATTTCGGTAAACGATTGTTACTTTGTTGGAATCTAGTCTAGAGAATTATTCTAGCCAAACTATTTTGTTTTATTTCTTGATTATAATTTTAGCAAAAGTTTAGGACGAGTAGAATCGAGTATCAACATATATGTTAGAGAAATAGCTGATAGATAAAGAGAGAACTATTATTAAGTATTTCAGAATTACAAAATTAAGGAAAGAAGAAATATTTTATGATCTCCTAAGCGGGTAGAGGAGAAAAGTTTATAACGTACGCGAGTTTAGCTTGAAATAAATGAAAGACACGAACACAAAGTTATACTTGAAAGTGACAATTTAAGCTATTATTTATTTAAGATTAAATTATATTTTTGTCTTTTATCTTATTTTTAAAATCTGTTATTTGTTAAAATATTATTTTTATTTTTTATTTTTTATATTTAGATTAATTTGATCATTTTAAAATAATAATAATTTAATTTTAAAATATAATTTCGAATTAATTCATAATATAAATTTTGTAACATTAAATTCAATTATATAAAAAAGCATGAAATTCAATTGATACTCGAATTCAAAAGACTATAAACATAATAAAAATTATATAAAAAAATATGTTTCATTAGTAATTAGAAAATAGTATGAAATTATATATATTTTTTAAATTTTTAATTTTTTTAAACTTATTTTTATGCAATTTTTACAATATTTGTAACATTTTTTTATTTGAAATTTAATTACGCTTAATAATTTTTATATAAGTAAATCTAATAAAATAAATTCAAGTCTTTAATTAATAAAAATGATTTAAAATCATATTTCAAAATTAAAAACAATAATTATTTTAAGAAGATCAAATTAATCTAAATTTAAGAGATAAAAAATCAAAATAAAAATTTAAAAGATAACGAACCAAAATAAATTTAATAAATAAAATAAAAAATTAAAAGTATAATTTAACCTTTATTTAATTAAATATTTACAGGTTTCAGGTTTCAACAACAACAAAAACAAATCCATAAGATTCATCATTTAAAATTGGAATATCAGTGCATTAATTTTTAAAACAAAATGCCATATTCCAAAAATAATTAAATTTATCAAAATTACATACAAAAAGTACGAGTACGTTCCAAGTATTTGATTTAGGTAAACTGCGATTTGGGTCAAGTATTAGAAGAAGCAACTGCTCCTACTTGTTCATTTGGGCCTCCAAATATACACATAAAACTCATGGACCATGGTATATATTTATAAATGATCCACCAAAATTCAAATAATTTAATAATTGGCATCCATTTCTGTTTTTTACCCAAACCCCCTTCCCTCTCATTCTTCTCCTTAGTAGCAAACCAAACACGAATCCAATATCATCAACGATCAACCTCATGTCACTTGCATCAATTTGAAAATCCTATAATGTTAGTGACATGATATCATTGACTGTAAACGAGAGGCCAATGGACTACTGCGTCTGCGTGTACTTTGATGTCTGTATGATTTAATTAATTCTTGCTTTTAATGTTTCTTCAGTGCAGCTGTTGTGTTACAAGTTGTCAATACTGTGTTATTGTATGATACATATTTATTTTCGTTTAGAGTCGATACAAACTAATGCCAACGGAGACAATAAAATTGATTCAACCAGCATACAAAGCTGTGGTATGATGTAGCAGCAGACTCATACACTCTTGAATGATATCATCTGTGTTTGGTATATGATAAAATGATGAGAGGCTGTAAAATGGAAATGAATAAGGTCAAAATTCAAATAAAATTCCTTTTGCTACCTGCCCATTTTAATTCCTACCAAGCACCCCTCTAGTGTTTGTCATGTACAACTTCATCTATTAAGAGAGCAGACATGCAGTTTTTGACATTGATGATCTCCCTTTGGATCACAGGCGTACAAAGTACTATAGTTGATGTTAAACACAGTTTCGAGGGTTGGTGAATTAGCAACGTCACTAGTGATCCACTTCGTGACATTGTAGTTACATATATAGTGAGTTATGTAACTTGGTAAAAACAAAAATATAATTAATAAGGTTTGATTCTTTATTTTGGGAAGGAATGGGTGTGGAAATGGCTTTGGAGTTTTCCAGTTGGACCAACATTGACAGTTGCTATTGGTGGAACCGGTTTTGGAGTCACAGCTAGCATATAGCAATGAAGACGTCACAAATTGAAGTGAAGTAGATGGCCTCACAGGTACACAACATAAAAATATGTGTCTAACTATGAGTAACCTTGTTGAATAATTTTCCAAGTCTGACATGTTGTTTATAGTTGGTAATAATCTTTGGAAGCGGCATCAAGTTTCCATCTGCAATGTTTGTGATTGAAAAGTGCAGTGTGATGTGGTCCATATAATTGTTGAACGTCCGCATTCAAAGGATGGAACCATAGCTTTATTTGATGGGGCGCTGAGATATTATGATCCTTAAATGCACTAATTAGTTGTCATCTAAAACCCAGCTACCCCTTCTCAGTTGATTGCAACATTTTGACATCATTTGAATCAACCAACACTCCACTGCATGCTATCTCCATAATCTATTCTTATGCAATGAATTATTTCACATTAAAGTTCCAAACAAATTATGTAATTGTACTAATACATGTTGGAATCCGACACTATTTCTTCTATCACTTTATATATATACACGCTCCTTTTTTCAGACTTTATATTATTATGCTATTTATTGCTTCAGTTTTACTTTCATACAATTTCTATAAATTTATTATGTGCCTCTTTAATTAAGAATACGTACAACCCGCTCGCTTTAAACACAAATTAATGAGACTCTTCTTCTTGACCACCAAATTACATTAAAAAAATAAGTGTAAATTAATATAAAATTTAAATATGTTTTTAATCCCTTAAATATTAAATAAATTTGTTTTTATTCTTTAAATTTTAAAGTGATTTTTTAATCTTTGTGGTTTGAGAAAATCTTATTAGTTTTTCTATTCAAGTATTTTTAGTAAATCTATCAAACAAAATTAATTTATTACTTACTTTATTGTACAAAAATTTATCTACACTAGTATTATTATTTGTAAAAATATCATATTAAATTAAATTGATATTACAAAATTGATTTGATCTAGCATTATATGTAATGTTACTAATGATTTAAGGACTATACATAATTTTTTGAAATTACATGATTAAAAAATTAATTTTAAATTTATGGGATAAAAAATAACCTTACCATGGAGTAAAGCATATTTTAGCCAATAATATAATAAAACAACGTCCATCTCTCGGACATGGTTATCAATACCTTCTATCTAAATAGTTTTAGCCTCTATACCTTCGAAATGTATCATGATCGTGGTTCCTCCCAGAGATTGAAGCTCTTTTTTTTCTTCTATGACATCATTCTCTCGAAAAGTTTTAGCATTAGGATACTCTTTTCTTTTCTTCTATCAATAATGTCAAAAACTCTTGACTGATTGAAGTTGATAGCCTAACCAAAAATCCATAAAAAGATAAAGCCAGTGTGAGCTAAGTACCTACCGGTAAAAAAAAAATAAAAAATATAGAGGCTAAAACTATTTAAACTGTTTAATTAATTCAATAATCGGTTTTACCTCATCCGAACTATATATTTAAACAGAACAATCCTAAATCGTAAATCCTAAAAAGACGAAAAAAGAACATTGTAGATAGATGCGTTGTAATAATGATGCCCAATTATCAGATATAATCAAGCAATAACATTCAATTCACACACACAAAAAAAAAAAAAAAAAACACCCAAATAACACATGCAAAACATTATATCCAGTTTGATTACTTTTGAGCAAATAACTTGATGTGCATGCCTTGCAAGCATACAAAAGCTAGGGACAATTCTTATATATTAAGATCAGCCCAATCCACAAGTCAAATCTCGTAGGCCCAAATATCTCGAAGGCTAAAAATTATAAGGACCGATCAAAGTCAATGTTACATGCATGAAAGTATAGCAAACTTCATCTCAGCTAAGAGACAAGTTAATCTATCACTATACTAAAGTCTGAAACAACATATAATCATTTTGCATTATGACTGTCATGTGACAAGTTTTCACAAATGGTAAAATAGATGCATATTTACTATATCTCGTTGTTTAAGTAGGGTTATTAATAATTTGAGCGTTAGAATATTTTTTTTTTTAAGTATCTTCAGGACTGTTAATGGATGAGTTGATACATATTTACTCATGTTCTTATTGGCTTAAAATTTTGACAAGGTCAATTTTGTGACAAAATTCGACTTAATTAATTTTATTGATATATATAGTTAAATTGAAGAATTAAAAAATATACTTACAATTAATATATATATATATATATATATTAATATTATACATCTTCGTTAAAATATTATTTATTAAATGAAGAACTTGTATTATTGATATATGATTATGTAAAAAATATATACTTTTACTAAAATATAAGATATTAGATTGAATTTGTAATAACCTGTCATGTTCGTCACACTACGAAACAATATAATTAAATAACTATAAATATATACTA